ATCACATGTATCTCTCACCATATAACACACTCTAATTCTGTTATGTTATACTGTGAGTTTACGTGCATTATTATTGTTTTTTTAACATTAATTATGAGTATATTATAACGTAATTTCATGGAATTTTGGTCAATAATTAATATTGTTTTAATAATTATGCAAAATAGTATTAAAAAAATAATATGACAGTCTGGAATATACATAAGAAGAATCAACTGAGTTGGACGAGATATATAATTTTAATATGAACTAATTATTTTTATTAATATTAATAATAATTTTTTATGATAATTTAGTAATTTCATTTGCTCAAATTTATTTTAGGTAATTCCAAAATATATTTAGACAAATTATTTGCAACCCATCTAAAAATTTATAATAATAAAAAAAAAAATTATTTAAAATAAATTCAGATAACGAGACCCTTTTTTTTTAAACCGACAAACCCTGCAAAATATTTGCGAATTCTCTTCAACTATGATATGTTGTATTGTTTATATTTGTATATGTATTAACATTATTTATGGTTTATTGGCTATTAGATTATTTGTTTTTCTCAAACTTATAGTCAGTGCGTATTATAAACTAATATTTATTATTTACTGTAATTGGCTAAGTTTCTACCAGTCTCCTCCAGCTATATAACATTCATATGATGACCGAAGACCGATCACAGTCTCTGCAATTTTCTCTGGTTTTCCTGGCAGGTTTCTTGTTTTCTGGTTTACTGTTCAAACTTCTATTGTTAATTTGCCAATAAGGAAAAGACTGTTGAATGCATACCAATTTAATTAAAGCTTCTACTTAATTTCCCTTTTTAACGTGGAGTAATTATTGTTAATGATAGCATATAATAAGAAATTCATGCCTATTTACATGAAATGAAATTTAAATTTGACAAAAAATATCAATTAGGTGATTTTTATTTTTGGGTTTTGTTTCATAATCATCAAGAAATTAATTAAAACTGTCATAATTAAGTTTACTGATGATATTAGGTCAAGGATTGACGTTGAATCTTCTCCAATAAGACTGGAAAATTGAAGGAAGAAACTGGGAAGTTGCATCGCATGCGTTCAGTTTCTTCACCAATATTTATATTTTATTAAAAGGGTAGTGTTAATCAATAATATAAAAATAAATTTAAAATTTAAAATTTTCTTTGTAATTTAATTTTGTTGTGGCTTAAAATTTATAGGTTATTTTGCAATAATTTAGTTTGCTATTTATTTAACATTAGAATTATTAATTTTGTGTTATTATTAATTATAATTGAGTTAATTTCACTCTTGATCTTGAAAAAAAATCTAATTATTGAACTCGATATGAGATTGACATAAAATTAAATACTGATAGTTTTTATTTGAATATTTATATATTAGAATTAGAACAAAACTATATGTTAAAATTATATTTTAGTGATTTATTTATTAATATATATGTAATTGACAGTAAGACTCGAATTTGTTCAATTATATATTAATTAATATGTAAGTTATTGCTAACTTCACCACCTATTAAATAATTTATAATAAATATTACTTTATATAATAATTTACATAAAATGGTTATGACAAAAATCAAATTACAGAAATCTGATTGTGGGAAATGAATTACATATAAATTTGAAGATAAACTGTGTTCATACACATACATGTAGGGTATATATATACACACACACACACACATATATTCTCATCCTCTATCCGCAGCAATAATCTTCCAGGAAAAAGATAGGGAGTTGTGGTCCAAGACTAGAACTGACAAAAAACGAAGCATGAGGAAAAATACTTTAGCAAGGCTGCAGGAACTTGTGATAAGAGCTGGGAGTTCAGCAATTTGATTCACAAGCCGCCACCTTTGCTTTCTTAAGCATATATACATGTGCATCCCCAGTTATTGAATCCATGCCCTATCTAAACAACTTATATACATATATACAACTACTAACTCTGAATTAATTAATATTTTTATGAGTAATTTATAAAAATATATCCGTAACTTAAAGATACAGTGCTTGGAATTTAACTTTAGAAGAGAAGAATACTCTCACGAGTATCAAAAAGAAAATAATAAAAGAAAAAATTGCATGGAGAAATGAGGTGGATGGACGGAAGAGGAGCCACTAAAAATTAGAAGCAGATCAGAGCATGAGGCGGCCAGCCAGGGCCTCGGTACTCCCAATCTCAGTCACCATACAAAACCCTATTCTGTATTTATCCATTTCCACTTATTCATTCATATTTATCATCACCCATGTATCTATATATCTCTCTATATCCATAATGTAAAAACTATATTCAACCGATTCAAAATCTTGCATCTATTAACATTTATATAAGTTTATCTCCATAAGCTAGTTACATTACAGTGATTAAATAAAGTTTTGTTTCAATAAATTATTATAATTATAGTAAAAAGATTTACTATATTTTTTAATTAAAATAATTATATTATATTAATACTTGATCTAATCTTTAAAAAAAAAATTAAAATTTATGAGAAATTCATTTATTTGTAAAAGGGTATTCCCTATTTTCTTAATATAAACTTCAATGAATTAATATTAACTGTACATGCACACCATCGTAATACTAATTGTTGGCAATGCAATGTATAATAATGTAGTTTATATACGCAAAATAGTATATGTGCGTGTACAATATCATGGGTCATATGTATTTTCAATTTTTTGTGAAAACGTTTATAGAGCTAGCATAATTTCATAATTTGATAAGTTAAAGATGTCCATATATAAATATATACATATATACGGTAATGTAATTTATTAAATTTTTAAAAAATATATTTTAATATTGAAAAAGGAATATATAATATTACATGGTAATGTAATTCAAATTTGTAAAATTAATGAAATTTTCAGTTAATACAATACATTTTTTAATTAAATAGTTAGTAAAATTTTAAACTAAATAATTTTATTTCATTATTTAGCAAAAATTTCTTCATGTTTTATTGCTTTGATTTATAAAATAAGAAAAAAATTAGAAAAGATAATTTATTTTTTATTTTAAATTAACTATTATATTTATACATTTAAAGATGAAAAAAAAAGAGTTCCAACATATAGTACCTCCATTGATAACTTATTTGGCGAAGTTAAATAACCAAAATTTTACTATCTAGCAGTCTAATATTTTATTTCCTGAAGATACATTTCAATCCTATAAGATCATGATAAGCACACATGTACTGTCTCTCTCTCTCTCTCTCTCTCTGTATGATATATATACAGAGAGAGAGAGAGAGAGAGAGAGAGAGAGAGAGAGAGACTGTGTATGAATGTATACATGCATGTTTTTATGTGTCTGTTTGTATATACATGTATGTATATATGATGGGTTAATGGTGGTGAATTGGATGTCGTTTTGCAGGAGTTTGTCGTCCATTTTTAAAGAAGAAATATTGCACTGCGTGCAGGCTTGTAAGGTTGGCGGGGAGCTGTTCTATTCACAGCCACAACTCCTTTATTCAACCCTTTGTTTGTCTTTTCCCATTATATATATATATATGATTAAAGATCTCTCTTCTTCCAGTTATAAATTTTTGAATAATTTTTCAAGTGCAAATATAATAAATTATATTTAATTTAATTAGTTTGTTTTTATTGTGGGTTTTCCAATAATATCTCCAGCTAGTAGATGTAATAATACATCTTGTAAATTTTGCTTTTATATTTCTACCATTTATCTGTGTTTTATTAGTTTCTTACTTACTATTTATTACTTTTAATTATGAATCAACCTCAATGAATTTACATAAAAAATAAAAATAAAAATTTAATAATATTAAAAATAGCCATAATATATAACATCCCGATAAAGAATTAAAAAAAGTTAGGAAAATAAGCCCAAACTGGGACTAATTCTAAAGAAGAAGGGCAATATGGAAATAAAGTAGGAGCTGCATTGTAAAGATTTTAAAAAGAAAAGAAAAAATTGAGAATTTAATAATAAAAAAAGAAATAGTAAAAATTAATGGCTCAAATTCGTCCCGGAGATCGGACAGATCTGGGACAACATTTTTAAGCTTTCTTTCCCCTACTTGTTCAAGTAGAAGAAATCCTAACACTCTGTTTTGGATAAATTTTAATGATGGTT